AAAAAACGTACAAACCTTGACCGGTTGGGTCGCCACGCACATGTATGAAGATCATTGTTCTCCAAATAGTCGATCCTCCAATTCCCCCCAAAGCTCTCCGCGGTCTCATTCCAAATCCCCCACAAACCACCCAACTCCCCCATCACATCACCTCCTCCTCTCCTTTCAGTCCCTCTATGTCTGGTTCTCCCCCCGAGTCCACCCCGTTTCATCCAAGCAGCTTCCTCCGACCCCGCTGCCGCTCCAGCTCTTCTCGGCCCACCTCCTCGACCGCCGCACAGGAGGAGGGCCACGCCATGCGCGGCCGCTCGAAGGCGGCGGCCATGTACCTGGCGGCGGCCCCTCACCGTCTGAGGCCTTGGAAAGACCTGAACTAGGCCTCCCCTCACTGGGGTACCTACCAGGGCCGTGAATGTGGGGTGCTTCAGGGACATCCCAAACAAGCCTTTAAGGGGCTTAGTGTTGGACTTCCCAGGCCGGCCCGTTGAACTCGAACTTGGGATAGTCGAACTAGGGTTGCCTTTCCCGTCCATCCCGAGCGATGGAGAGAGCTCCGCTCCGGTGGGGCTGACAGGGAGTGACGAGTCCTGGTGGGTGTGCAGAGTGATATAAAGCCCAGGGAGTGAGGTGTCACAATGCGTTTTCTTTTTTGTTAACATGTAAAACATGAGAGTGTAACCAACAAACATGTGTTCAGGAAAGTGGCTGGGTGAGACAGAAACGGATGCAACAGTGATCCTCTCAGGCCAAAAAACAAAAAACACATTATATATATATATTCTATAATGGCTTCATGACATCAAATCACAAACGTCTATTGATCACCTTGCGGTATCGAAGTGTTGCACTCCAACATGTCTGTCTGAAAGCAAGATCCCCAAAATGGTGGACCCCTAAAGAATCCCCAGAATCTCAGCTGCAGGCTGGTGACCTCCGAAGTCAGTGACTGGGAGACCTAAGACTTTAAGGTCCTGAACCACCTGCAGCAAGTTGCTCAGCTTCATGGCGGACAGAAACGTGAGTTCAATTTCCTCCCATCATGAACCACCCTGTCACACAAAGGTGGCAAGTCGACCTGTGACCCCACTTCAGGAGGGAACATGGTGACCCAGAACTAGGACCCTACTGGGCCCGTCACCTGGGGCACCCAACTGGGAAGAGAGAGAGAGAGAGTGTGTGTTAGGGATTCTCTCTACCATGATGTTCTGAGCATATAATTGTCAGCATTCATGTGCCGCGTTCATAGCAACTGCCACTCTAAAGTGCCCAGAGTCCTTCAACCTCTGTTCCTTTCTCTGGACGAGACGGCCAGTCCAAACGTCCGGAACGATGCGTCGTTCCTAAGGAGCGTCCACACCCTATGGTGGTCAAAGCGACGACATCCCCGTTGCACGTTGCTTGCGGCTTGTACAGTTACTTCTCACTCTACTCTTTCTCATCCCAGTCACTCCACATCCGATGTCAACCGAGTTCCTGCAGAATGGTGCAGGGTAGGGAGATCCCTGCCGGGCCCAATAGGGTAGACTGGTCAATTTCCCTGATGAGGTCGAGCTCTGACTCGACCTCATCAGGAATTTTATTTACAAAACAACACATGTCACGAAAAAGGGGCGCACTCGTCATGGGTGTAGGGTGTGGCTTTGCCGACCTTCGGCAAGCGCGACTGTGCCAGCTCTGCTGGGACCCAGTCCACGCCTGGTAGCTGTGCGTGGCGGGACGCATTGAGATGGACCTCCTCTTATTTATCACGCATGATATCATACCACATATAACATATGACTCATCATATACTGTAATTAATGTAGACATATGTAGACCATTCGTTGTATTTCAACCCCCCACACGATATGTTTTACTATCCAAATGGGGAGCTATATATATATATATATGCGATCTTTGTGCAGTGGTCAAACACCAGGACCACCGAAGGGAAAGCAGCTGCAAACGCCGCTGGCACGGGTTTGGAAGAGTGGATGTGAGCATCCTCGTTCACCCACTGCCCACTTTTACTGTATAGATATGATCATTCACGATCATTAATCATGATCTACAGTATACTGACAAACATGAGATATCATAGATATCCTATAATTACAGAGACAAAAACAAGAGGTAACATGATGAGTCACTAGGAGTCATGTCCAACTTCTCCCACGTCCCGTCCCGTGACCTTTTCTGTTTGGGGACGTGACAAAAAGGACACAGCTGGTGCTGTGTTGGAGGGTGCTGGTGATCATATGTGATCATAGGGCCAATGACGGAGTGGGGTTCCACCAATCAAAAACATCGAGTGGAACAAACGGAACCTCTCCGGTCAAGAAGTGCCTCTCCGTCCTCATGGGCTGACAAGCCGTTCATTTTCTGGATTTCAGGGACCAAACATCACATGGCGTGGCTAAGATCATGCAACATCTATCTATCTAACATCTCGAACATCGGGTCATATCAACCTGTGGCATTTTGGTTTCAATCTTCCTCCGCTTCTTCTAAAACAGCCAAGCACTCCACCAGCCGAGTACGGCCACGGCGGCCTGGTGGCGCTAAGGCACATCGAGGAGGCAGGTCTGCCTGAGTTCAGGACAATCCGTGCGGTCCACGTGTTTTGTATATTCTTTGTGTTCCAAAAACATCGGGACTATCCGGGCCGGCCTCATCGAGTTGAAGCATGTTGCAAGCACATTAACTTGTATATATATATATATACCCTGAGCATCTGAACCCTACAAATTTGTCGGGTTTGAAAACAAACCTCGGGTTTAGCCGTGACATAAGGGAAAACCTCGGGTTTTTAACCAAATCCTCGTGTTTTGCCCCAAAACCCTCGATAGCCATGTGCAGGTGCTCCATATTCATTTTCTCCCGCCGACTTATCAAATTTTCCGTGGTCAAAACATGTTTCACAATATGTTTATAAAACTTTCAACACTCTTGTCAGGAAAAGTTCGGGTCCGTGATTGAGAGCTCCGATAACCCGTGACAAACCCGTGTCAAACCCGTGATTATCCCGTGTCAACCCATGATTTTGGATGAAAAACCTCGGGTTTTCAGAAAAACATTGTGTTTCCCAAACCCGTGACGAACCCGTGACAAACCCGTGATTATACCGTGACAACCCGTGTTTTTTTCACGGGCTTTAGGGGGGTACAATAGTTGCATTTTTGGTTGAGATGTTTTTCGTTCTGATCATCAACCTGGGCTTTTGGAGTTTGAATTCAAGTTCCTGTGGCCCGGCCTTCGAAGATGGCATGGGCGGAAAAAAACACCAAAATGGGAAACCTCGTGTTTCCTCCAAGAACCTCGTGTTTTGGGATGAACCCTACGTTTTTGTCGTGTTTCGAGGCACAAGGTATATACACATGTATACACATATATAAATTGGTTCATCATTTTCTGCGAGGTCTCATCAACTTGGCTTGAGGCCACCATTGGTCCACCTTCTTAGCTTTCATCCCAAAGGAAGCGCCACATCGAGACGTTTCACCGTCCTTAACATGATCATATATATGATCATCCTAATCAGCCCTACCAAGGTGTCGAGTCCTTAGCTTATACTTAGCAAGCCTACAAGCACAACTGCATCGGCATGTGATCTGGTGCAAACCAGATCTTCACCCATCTAAGAACGCTTGGACTTGCCTAAGGGATCCAAATGGATCCAAGAACACTTGGTGATCTCCAGAAGGGGATTCACGAATCCAAAGGACATCAACATCACCCAAACAGTTTGACAAGTCAACTCCCGGATGCCCCCCCTACATACCCGGGCACACCCCAGAAGGGGAAGAGCACGTCCCAAAGGACATCCTCCTCACCCCAACTTTCTCCAAAACCAGGAGCCAGGAGAGTCCAGGAACACCTTTATACCTCTCATGGGTGAACCACAAGAAACACCACCGCACCGTCTCGCCCCACCTGGTTTTCTCCCTCTCGGTCCCCGTCTCGCTACGCCCCAGGGACCGGTAAGCGCATGGGTTTGCTTGGAAAGGAGACCAAGGCCACCTCTGGAGTCGGGGCGTGGTCTGGGTGGTCTGGGTGGATCAGGGCCGGTGTCAGGTGCCACGGGCCACGGCCGGGGTGTTGGTGGATGCTCACAGCATGACTCGCTTTCTGGACTCTTGGGATCCTTGGTTCGCTTAGTGACTTAGTGTGTTTCTTTTTTAAAATAAAACCATGTTCACCTCCCAAAAACGATCGGACTGCCATCCTGGCCGAGAAAAGCCCTTTTTCGCGATGCTTTGGGGGAGTCAACTCGCGCGGCATCCATCGGCATCCGCAGTCCCAATGGTCATGTAGGCGGGGAGTCCGTAGCTCCAAGGCGGAGTGTCGTGAAGGTGAAAGGAACGAAGCCAATGAGACACCACATGAAACCACGACCCCATCACCGCTGAGGCATCCGACCCCTGATCCGACCCCGGCAGACCTCCGCGAAGGAGATGAGCTGCTTGTCCAACTTCCTGAGGCAAGGTGGACCCAAACCAGGATGCTAGCTGGTCAAATGGCTGTCCAGCAAAGCTAGCCGGCCAAGAAAACCCTCACCGAACTGCTTCGGTACCCCCTAGAGATGGGTCGATGGGTCGAGCCCTGAAAGCATCTGAAAGCAACCCAGGTCGGACCAGTTTCCAAGGACCCTGGACCGTTCCAGGCTTCGGTGGGTCTCCCGATTGTGTGTCTTGCAACGTCTGGCAAAAGCGAGTAGAACGCCTCGAATGGTCATCACAGAGATGGGTTTATACCTTACACCCATGAAGATACACGGCAATTTCAAGCAACAGTCAACAGAACATCTTTGCCAACCATTGTTTCAGTGTTTTTTCCCCCAACAAAGTGGAAGATCATGGAGGTGTTGTTCCCAGTCTATGACATTTGGAAGGTTGTGTTGAGTAACATCCCCCAGAACAGGACGGCCCATACCCGGATCTCTCCCCACCATCCTCTCGCATCCTCTCACCCAGCTTGGTTTTGGCCGAAGACGGTGACCCCGGTGACCCTTCGTCTCGTCTCGCATCCGAGGGTCAAATTCACCTTGGCGGTGAGGCCGCCGAAGTTGTACGCACTCTCCTCTTCCAAACCTCACGTCGTCTAATTGGGCCGGTCCAGGCGCCGGGTCCCCTCCGGTACCCGTCGGTCATGACCGCCGGTCGAGTCAGTCATTCCGTGCGTGGGAAGGCTTATGGCGCGTCGTGGCGAAGGGAAGGGGGGTGATGAAGCGAAGGATAAACAGAAAACTCCAAGGATTCGGCCAATTGGACACCAAGTACATCCGGATGGGTACATGTCATGCCCAAACCTCTTCTTCATGTGGGACACCAAGTACATCCGGATTGCATGGTTAAGCGAATCTCAAGCCATGATGTTGCTTTGCGTTTTGGATGCACCGGAAGCTGGAAGCCCCACACACCGGTGGAGACGGACGGATAGGCCCACCGGTGTAGGCGCTCGTCTTCGGGAAGCAGAGCTTCTCTTTCTGGTCTTTCTGGATACCCCCCTGCAGACTGACATGGAACCTGAGAATTGACCCGTGGTTTCAATGCATGCTCCTCATACCAACCCTGGTGTCTTAGGATTCCATGTGGTCCTCTGCAGAAAAAGTAGATTCACTTCCATCCTGGTTTTCTTCGGATGGAGCTAGTTGAAAAACTGCACTCCCAGGTTCCAGTCGTACCGAACCTCCGATTTGCTGAGCAGGGAGACATTGTAGGCGCCAGGGTCGGGTCCAGTCGTAGCTTAAAGAAGCTACGCCTGGATCCCTAGAAACCTTCAGTCCCATGGGATCCGTCAGTCCCATGAGATCCGTCAGGATCGTCAACAGGGTCAAACGCAGTCTCTGTAGCAACGGTTTCAAGACAAACACAGACCATGTATGTCCATGTCACGCGCCCCCTGTCCCACACTGAAAACGCGAGATGGTTTTGTGAAAGAAGAACGCAAACATCAGAAAGCTTGCGCTCCTCCTTGCGCCCTCTAGCTGTCCAACACTTTCAAACAAACCACCTCCCCAGCTGCGAACAAACACCGAGAGTTCATCACCAGTTCATCTGAGAGACCCAAGTTCACGGAGATTTCCAAGGTTTCGAAGCAAGGGCACGGCTTGCTGAACCTCCGTCTCCGTCTCCACACGTGATGCAACAGAGTCAGTCACCGACCCACCCGGTTGGATGACAACATGACGTAGGACGTTTTCGCTGTTGAGATTCTGCCTGAGAGGAAACACTGAACAATGAATCGCCAAATCGCTGTTCAACGTGTTTGAAAGGACGCAACAAACAAACTGGGAGTGCGCACAACATATGTTGAGAACTATTGGGCAATCCTCCACAACAACCGTGGAAAATAAGGACATGCATGTACTGCTTAAGTTCCCGCCGTCGGTTTTGAGCAGACTCATGCCCATACATCTTTGGCAAGGGCTCTGCAACAGGCTCTCTCGCCTGAAAAACCCCTTAAACCCCAGCACAGTCAGGTAAAATCACTAGGGCTCCAAGTGCCTCCTCAGGTTCGGTATGACTGGACCGTCCTGGTACCCATCCCAGTCCCACCTTCTTAGAAGGTGCGATCGGAGTCCTAGGGTCATTTAAAGAAGAAAAGTGCACGGGACTGTGCACAGGTTGTTCTTATAGATGGAAATAAACGGTCAGGGGGATCTATAAACCACCCGAACTGGGTGGTGCTTGTAATTGTCCAACCAGGATAATCCTATCTGGGTGTCCTGTCTGGAGATCAGTAAACTATATAGGGTAGTCCAGCCAGGAAAAAACGATATCCTGTTGGTCGTGTGATGGGTTACTTCACGGCTTAACGAGAGAAGAAGACAGGACACTGGCAGCTGATCTTCTTGAGCATGGCGTTGCTTCTCCAAGTCAACCGAGCAAAATACACCTGGTGAGAAAGCGGGGAAAGAAAACACCCGGGCAGGGACCTGTTTTTCTTGCGGTGTCTACCGTACATAGACCACTAGATGGACAGGTCTCTCAAACACAAGGAATCTGTTGAGCGAACCACAGATATGCTAAAGCATGCTATAGAATGTGATAGAATGATATCGTGTCTATTCTCTGTCTGCAAATCGTGTTTCTGTGTGTTTCCTTCTTTACAATAGCATTCCAAAACAAATCACCACCAAGGTTGGTCTTTAGATCCTATTACTGTAATGCATGCATGCATATTATGTATATGCATATAGTATTGCATAGTCATTTTGGGAATGGTTGTTGTGGATTCTGGGTCAAACGCACAGGGACAGGAGAGTCTCTTTGCTACTTACTTGGGGAACCGTTCCGGGAAATTTGGAGGTTAGCATATCATGTCGGGGAATACTTGAATGGCAAATGGCCTGTGTGGAGCTGCAAAGCCAAATCAAAAAAAAATGACAGGACAATCATGGACAATCCAATACGATCTATAATAGGTTTAAATGGTTTACTCATGTGTCATCTGTACTGAAGCGCGGAAAATAACTGTTGAAAAGTAAAGCTGCTATTCATATGTTAGAGATTTTGTAGTGAAGCCGAATCGAACCATCTGGACCTTCCAATACCGGTGGACAGGTCCGATCGGATGCCAGCAGTCAGCAGTCCAATGATCTATGTTCGTGAAGACATCGATCACCGAAACCAGCCCATGAACTTTCCAAACCATGAACCATCCCTATCCATCCCACCGGAAAAAAAGAAACGGCCGCCGCCCTCGGACGATGTTTCAACCCTCGATCCCGCCGCTTCGTGGACGTCCAATGCCGAGCGACGGCCGCATCCGCCAACAGCATGGCCTCCGCTCCTCCGTGCACGCCGGGGGCGAACTCGCCTCGGCGCGGGCGACGGTGGCACCGTGGGCGAACGGGGCGAATGGGGGGGTTTCGAGGTCCCGGGAAGTCCAAGCTGGGCTGCTGAGTGGGTGAGAATTGCTCAGTGTGTAATCTTTCACATTGGACTGCTGGTGGCAGGTTTTTCCGAACCAAAAGCGGCCCATATTTGGAGGGACCGGGCTCGAACTTCCGGTTGGCAGCGGACTCTGACTCTTTTTCTGGACGTCACTTGCTCCGTGACTAATTCTGGCCTGTCCACTTTGGGAACAAAGCTAACATCAACTAAACACCCGCACATCAGGCTTGGCACTGAACTTGCGGGTAGTACAGTAAAAGCTTGCCTAAAGCAAGCAGCTCACAAAGGGCTTCAGAGCTTGTGGTGTGACATGCCAGTCTGGACTTCACCGAAATCCAACCAGAAGTTCATAGATCCCCCACGGCCACGTAGAAAAAGTATTGGAAACCGTGCCACTATCTACTTGGGAAGCACTACAACTCTATGTTGTTACTTGTGAGTCTAGAATTGGTGGACTTTTTGAGGCCCCCCTTCCTTCTATGCAGGTCAATGCAGGTATGCAGGTGGAGGGCGATCAAACCGACCGTGGTTCAACTCAATGTTTCAAGAAACCGTGTTTTTGATTGCTGAAACATGCTGAAACAATACGATCTTTACGATTCCAAAGGTGCTCCGATATTGATTATTGTTGTTGTTCATTAGCTGATGAGCCTTTTCAAGGCCTTTGATGTCCATCCAAGGCACACCACCCTTCCTCAATAAGTCTTGTAAAGCGCAGGAGCCGATGGATTCGCCAGCAAATGTCTGTCTGAACAATATCTGCTCCTTCCATGATCTTCAAATCACATGCCTTTCAATCAAAGCACAGGATCGCGATCGGCCAAGGAGGGGAGGAAGCTCCGCAAAAGCGGGAGCCAAGGCAGGAAAGTAGGCATGTGAATAGCCTCGACCCAAGCTTGACGAAGCCGAGGGAAAGGTGAGGCTGGAAGACCTGTAAAGATGATGGGTGCAATTTGTCGTCGTCCAGGGAGGCAAAGGATCATAAACAGAAACTGTCACGTGGTGTGGCTGGTCGTCAAAGTACACACATGGATGATGTGTGTCAGAACTTGGGATGAGCTGTGACATGTATCCTGCCGTGGGAAGCGCGTGACATGTGGCAGGCACATACGCGAAACCGCTGTTTTGGTGGCATCTGCAACTACAAGCCAACTCATCGTGTTCGATTCCATGATCGAGACACATGTCAGTCCACTGAGCTTTTCGGGGTCTTGCACCTGCACTAGCGGGTCTAACTGTCGCTTCAAGCTTTGAGGTTGGTGAAAGGCCATGCTTCGTCAGCTGCACTGCAGACCAAAACTCTTCCCGATGCTGATTGAACAAGGCCCGTACCTTAGATGTGTGGAGAACAAACACAATGTCCATCACTCACAGGGACTAAAACTATAGGGACAAATATATATTATATAAGCTAGGAACAACAAGCATCACCCGCAAAACCAGGGCACCCAAGCGCACAACTTCCCGGCGCCAAAGGCAGGACCCGAGTGAATGAGTCTTACCCAGCGGTAGCCCAAATACGGCGACCTCTCGTCGATTTCGACTCGATGTTCAGGAAGTGCCCGCGGCTTCCATTCAGCCTCTGGACCTTCCATCAAGTGGAAGACAAAGGTATTGGTGTAGGCTTTGACCTCAAACAGGCCACCAATGAAGTTGTGATTTGTGTTCCTCCATTCGTTTGACTATGAAGGATATAATATATGATATACCTAGCCTTTTAGAGGCTTCAAGTCTGAACTACCCCCCCTTCGCCGTAGTAAGGAAACAGTCAGAAAAGCACCGTAGTCGACGAATCTGTGGATCGTCGACGTCCGATGCACATCCAGAATCCGTTCACATCCAGCATCCGTTCACAGAAGGGAAAGAAGGGTCGCGGCGTCAAAGGGTTTTGATGAATCACTATACTGTATAGGCCCTAGCCTAGTTAGGCCCCTTTTTCTGCGGGGCCCTGCTCAATGAACTAGTTTATTGGATTTGATTGGGTGCCCCGCAAGTGCCCCTCCCTCACCAGCCAATGTGAACGTTGGTGAAATTGATTCTGACAATTTCATTCTGGACTCAGTAGGGGGTCTTGATTGATTTCCTAACGTTTTGGCTATGAATCACTGCTCTCCAGGACACACCGTTCTTCGATACGCCCGCTCCTTTGAAGGTGACCATCGGCGGCAACTCGCTTTGAGACAAGAGTTGAAGTAGAGAGCTTGGAAGATGAGCATTCTTCGTTTGCGACTTGCTCTGGTATTTGATGGGTTTAGAAGGGACAACTTCTTCTTTCGCAACCACCTTGGCGACGTGAACCATGCGACATGGACGAGTTGGCCAATTCAACACGTCTATATATGTCCCCTCTTTGCTGGATGTTCCAATGCTACTTCCCCACAGAAGCCGTGTTAAACCGGACAAACCGGATGGCTCGCCCCCTTCTCGTCCCTCTCCAAATGACTGAGTTGATGTCCTGTGATGACCTGCAACTTGATGTTCGTCCGAGACTCCACAAGCAATCCCGTAGTTGTCACTGTTGTAGCATACTAAAAGCAGGATATCAAAAACCAAACTACAACAACCTTCAAACAAGAACAACAAATCATTGAACCGCATGTGTGTGTGTGTTCGCCCCATGTCTGCCAGCTTGCTTTCTTCTTTGGAACTGCAAGGCACAAGTGCAGGTAACACCACTGGCTCCATTGTTGGGCTTCCAGCACCTCCCTCCTCTGCTGCCTCGCGAAGGGCTGCGCGCAGCAAGGCTTTCTTTCGCAGCTGCGCGCATCCCTGGGTCTTGAGGAAATGAAGTTCTTCTGGTTCAAGACCGCCACCAAGGAAGCCATAGGTATTCGGTTCTGTCACCTCCAAGTTCAAACAGCAAAACACGGATTTCCCCTTTTGCAAAAAGACTTAAATATACTTAAATTAGTAAAGGTTTTAAAGGTGTCCAAAACCAATTGCAAGAAAGGATGGGGCTCACGAAGGAAACACAACACTTTTCAGTGCTGCACTGACACAGCTAGTAAATTGTTCCACACACAGTTGCAACTGCTTTGGACGTCAATCTTCTCCGAGCAGTGGCGGAGACAATACAGAGTCGATACCGTTGATGAGTCAGCGTGACACATTTTAAGGTTACATCACTGGTTACATGATTTAATTAACATCAATTGAAAGAAGTGTGTGGCGATCCAAAAATCTGAGAGGAAAGTATTTATATATTTAGTTACTATGTATAATTAGAAATTATATATATATATACTTTAGATATCTTAAGATTACTTTAGTATTGGGATACGATATGTTGGTTGGTGTCATGGCCTTCCGACTTCGTCGCTGCAGCAGAATCTCCAAAGTGGGTTTCTCCACTTTGCTGGTTGCAAATCGTAGGAGGACCAGGTGCGCCATCACGGCAGTGATTCAGCAATGCACCAATGTACTTTGTACATGCGCATTTCAGGAAAATTGCCCTTGAATGACTCACAGCTTGAAAGGACACAAATGGACACAGGTATGGTCGTATGGTATGCATGGTATGCTCTGTACCCTAAGTCCAAGATCAGCCATGTGCACAACTTCCAGCACAACCTTCAATTTCTTCTCCTTTTCATCATCGTGATCATGGTCATGATCATCACGATCACCGTCACCGTCAGCAGTCTGTTTACCGGCAAACGGACAATCCGTCTTCAAATCATGTGTATTCAGAAACTCTCTTCAATCCATCTCTCCTTATGCACTGGTTACCAACTTGGTGCTTCCAACTCACGGATGAAAAGAGCCTGTCGTCAGTGGGTTCAACCATCCATCATCATCCCAAGTGGGTTGCATTGGAATAGGGAGCCCCCAAATTCGACCTCGACTGTTCAAAAAATAGATCAGTCTACCCATTGGTGGCGTGGCTGGCGTGGTTTCCCTATTGAAATACAAACCCAAGAGCAGGTTGAATCTGAAAATTATCTCTACAAACCGGTAGAGGTTCGCCAAACCCAACGGAAAAAAGGGACCGGAATCCATCAGCAAGTGACGGATTCATCAACCAAGGAACCGTCCTCCTCCGGCTCACCTCTGCTCATGGACTGCGTGGCCTATGCACGAAGAACGCTGACGCAGAACGCCGTCGCTGGCCGATAGAGCGATGAGGAAGAGGTCAGCGACCGGGATTGAGCGACCGCTTCGCCGTTAGGGGTCGCCCATGTTTGTCCGTCGATTTTGTGTTTTTTGTGTTTTCTTCTTCACGGGAGTGCAGGCTTTTTATGAGATGTCCCTCGGCATCGGCCTGGAGGGCCGCGGGGTGTTTTTTGGTGTTTTGTGTTTTCTTTGGTTTCATGGGGGACTCTTATGATGGCCATCCAATTGTAGTTTAAATATGATGTTACTGTTATATGTTCTCGTATCTTTTATTGCAGTGTTGGTTTTAGGATCTGACGCTTCAAGTGCTTCCAGTCAAGTGATTCCGGCGAAAGGTCTGAACTTTCGGAAGTGCGAAAGCAGCAGTTCGTTCAGTTCTAGAATTCAAGGTTAAGAACCAGTCTCGCTTCCATCTTGTAAGGCATCAAGCTCCAACATGCATCAAAGTCTTATCCTTCAGTCCTTCAAGTGACATGTTTGACACTAAGGTTTCCAGTAAAATCATATAGGTAGACCACTTCAATTAGCTCACCAAAACCCGCTCACTCCATGGGATGATTCTGTCTTTTTAAAATCTAATTTAAGACACGTTGAAACTCTTCACATTCATATTGCTGACATCATCCATGAACCACAGAAACCTGTGATTCATTCAATCGGTAAATTCTAGCACCAGCTATTCATTTTGAACCCACATCCTTCCAGTTCCTAGCAACCATCGTAGTCTGGACCGGTAGGTTTTGGCTCAAACATCCTCACACCTATTCAACCAGGGCCCTGATCTATGCAGTTGAACCATCGTCTTTTCGGAACAGGTCCGTCCAAACACCAACATCATCCAACAATCGAACCGCCACGTGCTTCAAGACACGCGGCGCCGTGTCCGACCCGCCGAAGCACACGGCCACGGCACCTGCGCGCCGAAGCGGACGGCGCCACGGAGGGTGGTGGTCCGGAGGTCCTTCTCCACGTTCCTGGGAAACAGGCGACCGGGTGTGGTGCGAACGTGGGGCAGAGGCACGTCAGACAGACCTACCGTGGCATGGGCGCCGTATTGGACAAAGAAACAAGAACAAAGCATCCGTCCTTGGTGTGAAAATCCCTGGGAAAGAGCTTCAGCACTTAAGAGTGTTTATGTGAGGAATCACAAGAACAGGTTTGCACCGTTCTGCGTCTTGCATGCCTAGAGCAAGAATGTTCCTCTGAAAGATGGCGTGGAAACTGCTTGTTCCCTCGGTTGACGAACTTGTGGAAACTGCACAGCTGCTGGGTGGTTTTGTTCCATGGCTTTGTTCGCACTCACGGCGTCGAAATCGACTCTCCATCCAGCTGGTTGATGATCCATCACTCATTGGTAACGAATTCACAGGGCCCTAAGACAAGAGTGTCTTAGACCCTTCAAAGAATTAAATCCCTCCAAAGTAGTACTTGGGATCCACGAAGACGGTTCTGGAGACCTTCTCCAAGGTCTGTTCGGGTAAAACAGGGCGATGTGTTTGAAGCATATGGAACGTATCCACCATACCTGATGCATATGTTGTAGAAACTGGTGTGTATGGGAAAATATACATTGGAGCTAAACATTAACTATCTTTAGTATTCACGTATCCTATAGCTAGATAATTAATGCTGTTCATCTCACTCAAAACAAAAAACACATAAAAACACATATAAAAATCAAAGGTCAGCACTTACAACCCCTGACACGGCTGCCTTGCGTGGAGACACACATTCTAGATCATTCGTTCGTGTATCTGCCTTCCGTGGGACATTCGGATCGAGGCGACTTGGGGAGGCTGGATCAAACATGGGAGTGTATTCAAATAGGGAGACCTTGCAAAGACCTCCTGAAAGAAGGAACATAGACCAGTCTACCTATTGCTTGGGCATCTACCAATTAAAGATACTAAAGCACACACCCACATTGACAGACTGGAGCAACTCGTAGGGAACGAGGGAAGTGCCGAACCCCCGCCATCACTCGATACAGGAAGATCGCAGCCACCCTGGCACCCTGATTCCAAAGCAACTCATCACACCAGTCACAAAATATCAGCGAAACCACCCGCTCCAACGCGTGACCCCACTCGAACCCAGCTTCTCGATGAAGTAGATCACATTCACTGTATCTGGCATGAGCCCAGTGACCGGGTCCTCAATCCATCCAATTCCGCGCTAACCGGACAAGGATGCAAACCGGACGAGATTGTTCAGCTTCGCACGCTAGAAGCTTGGAGGATGTGTGAAGAATCTCCCCTGGGAGTCAAAGGCTATAAAGAGAATTGAACAGAATGGTCTTTAGGGGACCTCAACTTCCTTAGGCCGGTGAAATACGGTCTTTGGACTTCTAGGGTCTCCCTAGTTGTGGCTGTACTACAAGTTCTAGCCATTAACAATTTGCAGTACACAATACAGTACATCCCCAAGGTACCTTTCAGTTACCTCTGCCGTGTTATCTCTACCCTATATAGTGGCTTAAAGTCAGCCAATCAAAAACCACCCAATTGCCTTAGTTCCGGCAAGGGACCAGCTGTGAATTTTGTGGTCACGTTCTATGTTCTTTTGTCACGGGTCAACAAAAACCGCAAAACCCCATCCACTTCGTTCGGAGTTTCCAACTGCCGCCGCTTGACCGACCCCCAAGTGTCCATGCTGGGCATGTACTTGCCCTCCGGCCCCGGGAAGCAGCGCCGCACGGGACTCAGTTGTGGATCTTGCAGCATCGAGCGCAGGACCGCCTTGGGAACGTGCGCAATGCATAGACTGGCTCTGCGATGCATAGGTGAAGGAGAAATAAGGAGAAACTCCAAGGGGAAATAAGTGCAGCAGTGAAGAACTGCCAAACAAATGCCAGTGACTCATCTGCAAGCAAAAGGAATTAACTCTATATGGTGATATTAATGTATGGTATAGCATGGTATAGCCAAATTTAGGCAAACACATGCAACACAATGAACATGCTCTTAATTCATAAGTTGTCACTCATCGAAACCACAGACAGAACAACAAAACATCGTGGCTTGAACTGGTTCAACTTGGTTGGTTCAACTTGAAGAGGAAGACTCCCGATCGCCCCTGGCTGAGTAAACTGGTCTATTTTCCGAACCTGCGAGAAGGTCGGTGACCTGGGAGGTGGGCTCCAGTCGTGCTTTGTCAGGTTCGGTATGACTGGACCCTTCAGATGGCACCCAGTCCAGTCCCACCGAACGTCAGAAGGTACGACCGGAGGTGTAGGGATACACACCCTAGGGCATCCCTCGTTCCTCGTTCCGAGTGGTCTTGATCATCTCATCTGGCGCCTCGTACCTCAATCCTGACCTAGCGATTAATAAAGTAGAAACTATTCCTGGATGGACTCCAACTATGTACCTCCTCAGAACATACTTAGACTCTCCAGTCAACTCTCCAGTCAACCACCTTCCGTTGGCATGTTCTGAGAAGCGTTGGACCGTTGGAGTCCTAAACACTGGTACTTGTGAATCAGAGCACTCACAGTCCGACTCCCATGCAAAGGCGTTGAGCTGCGGGTGCATGGGCTTGTTTAGCTGCGGCTTGTTTACCAGCGATCCCAAACACATCGGCCCAAAACAGCTGGACGCCCCATCTCGGAGTCCAGCGCCAGCACACTGCCATGGTCTCCCAAACCCGTTCTCATGTGCGGCCGGTTCCCCATGTGCGATCGCCCAGTCGCGTCATGGGGAAAGAAGCCTGGCACGCCAGCTTCCCAGGAGAGTGAAGGCTTCCTGTTGCGATGTGGTGGCCGGTGGCGAGAGGTTCCTCTGCAAGTGGGTCGAATGAGTAGAACTTCATCCAACATGTCAATCAGACAAAGAACACAAGACGCCACAAATAAACTATAAAATACAATACTATGAAAATTATATCATCCGAAATAAAATCAATGGACATCTTAAGGATTGCACATGATTGCACATACTTTGGTACTACCTTTGGTCTCCCTCGGTGCGGCCAGGTCCAAGTCATTCTGAAGGCTCGGCCGAAGATGGATCGATGGAAGAATGACAACATCAGAACCCCGCCCCCGGACCAATTCTATCTTGGCCGTCTGTCCTTAGATCTCTTAGATCTTAGTTCCTCAAGGTTTGTACCTTCTTTGGTGTGGAGATGTGTGTAGTGTAGTGGCGGTAGTTAGTAATAATAATAATAACTAGTAGTAGTAGTAGTAGTAGTAGTAGTAGTAGTAGTAGTAGCAGTAGCAGTAGCAGTAGCAGTAGTAGTAGTAGTAGGACAAGCACAGGGCAGCCCAGGTCATGTGCATGGATCGTCCGGGATTGGGGAAACTCGCCACAGATTCAAAAAGGGTGCGGCAAAAAAACATGAAATGCCAAACATCAGCAGGCAACGTTGGTCGCTTCTTTTGGCTGTGCATAGGGTAAATAAGCTTTTGACACAAAATCACACCTTCGAACTGTACTGTTTGCTGTTTGATAAAACAAAGCAATTCACATCAATTCACAAGTTACTTCTTTGGCAGGTGATGTGTGTGTGTGTGTGTGTCTGCTACCTAAAACCCTGGCCCTTCTGCTTTTCGAAAAACTGGCCACTGGCCACCGTGGCCGCGGATGAATTCCAACCATGCGCTACCGCTGCGCCAAGGGTCGTGTTCAGTGCTGCTTGCAGCCAGTAAGTATCATTTTCTTTCGCGTTGCGATCCAATAGACCCACACGGGGTTCGTAGATGTATTCCTGGACGGTCCCGCATGTGCGCGGCACCAACGGCAGTCCGGCACGAAACGCGGCCGAGTTTCGGCGGAATCCAAAAGCGCCGTTTTGGTGCCAAAGGATTTTCCATGCATGATGTCATTAATACATGTTTGGTTCTATAACATCTAACAAATATCTAATCTTTTGCGGAGGCATTTGGGAGACAATTGAGATGTTCAATGATGTTAACACTTCTCCTGAATGGTAGTCTCAGCTCACTGGTTTTGGGATGTCCCAAGCTCTCCCCCCAAAAAATAATCAAAAAATAACATAATCTTCGAACGAAGAATCAAAGCCCACTTGAAGGATCACCTTACTAAATGTTCGAAGACTTCTCACCTTGTGTCACAACATGCTAAAAACTGCCACAGTGCTTCACTCAGAGATGCTCACAACACACATCTTAGTCCAAGCGGCGGTAATCTGCTTGCATGAGAGCACTGGGAAATTCAGCACCTCACAGCGCAGTGGAACGTGTCCGTACCATCTGTGGAGGTACTGTGTTTTGCCAGGGCAAATGATGCGAAGTGGGCCCAACAAACAAATGAGATCGGAGATAAGTGGACCAAATGCAACTGAATTTGAATTCCTGCACATTCCTGCTGTTCGTGATTCTTGGCAGGTCTTTCCAGCATCTGACTTTAACCCGTGGTACTCCACCTTCACCTCAACTGGATTCGACCAAACGCATTTGATCCCACATGAAAACATCCTAATTGAGCCAAAGCTGTCTCGTCATGCAGCCAGAACTATCTGCAGTCCTTTGCAGCCGCCCTGAAGAAAACTAAAGAATATATGCAGAAGGACCCTATATATCATATAACTCTCAGAATGACCTGATATATCTGAACGATCTGAATATATACTGACCGTATTGTTTTGCAGAATGACCTTATATGTATCTCTCTGTATCTTCCCGAAACCCGTGAGAAGAAAAGCCCACACCTTCTGCAGTGGCAAGGGCAACATTGCCAGTCTTCGGATGAGCAGTTGGACCTCGCCCTCTTTCGATGGCTTCCTGGGCGCGTTGGTGTCGGTGGGCTGGTCTAGAGTGGTGAAGAGAATGCGGGGGAGGCTCCAAATACATAGCGGGCCAACCTAAAAAGCATTCAAATGATTTCAAACGATCTTGGAGTTGCTGAAGGGATGTGTGTGGAAGACATGGATTGAACAGGCATATACTCCCGAAGTGAGCCCTCACAGGGACCAACATAGGCTCAGGCTGTCAGGTCTTACCGGGCACCGGGTGATCATAAGGACCAGCTGAACTCAATGAGAAGGTGGCTCTCAGCCTCTAAGCCTCTACGCCTCTAAGCACAGTTCAGCTGGTGTTGAGTATAGGTTGGGTCTATCCTAATACCTGTAACAGTGGATGATGATGGTTGGTAAAGGCCTTGTTCAAAAATGATGATAATTGTTTACTGGTAATAGGACAAACCCAAATAACTATAGGCCACAACAATACCTGCTGAAGATGTTGTTCCATTCTCATGAGGGGCTGGCTGGGTGACGCAGCTGGCGGACAAATTCAAAAGAATCACATAATTTGGCACTTTTGGTTTTGTCATGTGGAGTTGAAAGGTTGGCTAAGGTTGGTAGTTTGTGGCATGATGGGACCATCTACAAATATCACCCTCCCAAAAAGGCTCTTTGATGGAAACCAAGATCGCTCCTGGTCGTGATTTTTCGTTTGCTGGGTCGGTGCGGGAAAAATCCTAATCCCTTGGGCCTTGGGTCGTTTCCAACGGCCCAGCTCTGGCCCAGCTGTGTGGTGGCGCGTTCTCACGCGCGCATCGCGTTCCGAGCGGATCGCGTTGATCGGACCGGAATGCTTCCGGTCCAAGCGGAGAACGGGCTGACAGGTGTGTTTTCTTTATGGGTTGAAACAGGGGAGCCCAAAGATGGGTTTCATTGACTCTTAGGAGTGGTCCACCCAAGGTTAGACGATTAGCCTTTTTCCACCCAAGCACCTGTTCTTGTATAGTGGGGTATGTCCCAAATCCCTCAAAAAAAAGGTTTTAGCATGCAAATGATCCTACTTTTCTTTCTGAGTCGGACATAAAAACCACGATCAAACACTGCCTCATCATCCGGCATCATCCTGCTTCATCCGAGAATCTTTGAGATGGAGGCCAACATCTCGGTCTTCTTCACCTGACGAAGGCAGTGGCCACACATCTGTTTCCGAACAGTTCTCACCATGGTGACGAACCCGGCACCATCTTCCCAACCCATCCCACGTCACCATGTGTTCGTCCGAGTGTACAAACCTCCTCTGAGTCGAACAAACTCAAGTCGGCCATGCGTGGAGACCGATCGGTGACCTGGAGGACCAGGACCTGGAAGAGGGAGCAGAACCCTACCCGCCAGGAGGACCTGGAAGTGAACCACCCCCTGGAAGGAGGAACCACCATCTTCCATCCACGTCCATCGACCGATCCTGTACACATGGTCTGCAGGAAAACCACGTGAAGCCATCGCCGCGTTGCGGCCGCACGAGGCCGTCGTGCTTTCCTTCGTTGTTTTCCCCCCGCCTTGATGCTCACCCACCCAGCACTGGGTCCATTCCCTTGAAGTAGTTGGTAACCTCGGCGAACAAGGTTGGCCTGTCACCAGACATGTCGCGTCGAACAGCGCGGTCTGGTTTCCTTTCGTGCCACACGACGGTTCAAAGAAGAGTGCCCCGAAAACGGACTGGAAGAAGGCAACCAAGTTATAGTGAATTGACAGGTTGCTCTTCTTATTCAAGGATCAAAGGTGGATGATGCCATGGAGAGTTTAATGATGTCTGAGATCTGGGTGCATAACATGGGGGGCTGATGTCAAATGCATACCATGTACCAGTTCGCTCACATGGATCCCAACAAAATCACTGGTATCATGGTATATGTCTAGTATCATACCTGCCGTATTCCCCGTGCTTCGTCTTCCTCCCACTCCCCTTAACTTCAACTTCACACCGCCAGCCAGGCGCGCGTCCACGGCGCGCGAACGCGCGCTTGGCCCCGTCCACCGTACCGGGCCACAAATCCGTTCGCCCTTATCCGCGAGCTCGCGCACCAGTGACCCGCACCGCAGCTGGGGTCGTATCCTCAGCGGTCCACTGGGATTCGGCCGCAAGACGGAATGAGAGACGGTAGACATAGCCAAACACCACCTGTATGGCACTGACATGCACTGACCTAGTGACATATATATATATATATTATATATATAAAATACATATATACATATTTACATTATGGTGGTGCATTACAAGGAGTATTTCTGGGGCGGCAGCCAGTCCGGATGGTCTGAGATTGTAGCTGGGGGTCTGCTGGGTGAGGCTGGTCATTTTCCAAGCGGCTCCTGGTATCGACTGAGTGGGTTCGAGAAACCATCGCATCTTGCAACCGAGTTGCTTGGAGAAAAATCGTTGCTTACTCTTATCTCCATGGTTCCTATGTTCGTTATAATAGGATAAGTAATGTAATTATGATGTGTAATTATAATCTTGTAACTGGTCTTGTATACAACGGGCACATACTGACTCTTTAAGTGTATTTGGTTAGATAATGTCAGATATGTGTTCGATGAATAGGGCACTTAGGAACATACCTTCAAATTCAATCAAACTCTCAAGCATTCTCAAGCCCTTTTTTGGTCCAAACTCGCCAACTCAAACTCTCAGGCGCCCAAAAGACCTGACTCTAACCCTTTCTCTTCCTCAAAAAAAACACACCCAGCCGTTCACCCAGCCACGCGCGGCCGCCGCCCTTGCCCCACCCGAACCCGTTGAAACCGATCCAAGTCACCCCGTGGAGGTGAGGCTGTGCCCTTCCCGGACCACCAAGCCTCCCTCGCGGGCGCCGCCGACCTGACCGACCGAACCCCGGTTGCTAGTTTACGGACCAACCGTGGCTCTGGGGTTCAGTCCGGAACATCGGAAACCGGTTGGTGATCTCCCGAAATGAAAGTTAACTACGTATATATGAGATACCCCTGCTTAGGTGTGGGATGGCATCCTAACGAACTCCACATGGTTCGAAGTAACCAAGCAAACCACAAAAAAGAACCGCGATCAACAAAGGGTCCAATATACCAGCACCGACTTCACAGGTCACTAATTGAAACCTGTTAAGGCCCTTCTCAACCCTCCAAAGGAGACCTGTTGGAAGGTGCTGGTATATAGATTACTTCTATAGGGGATCTTACAGGTGATTCGCGGGGTCCATTCACCACCCCATACAGGGAACCCTGGTAGAATCCAATCCAGTGACGTCACCTCCACTTTCCAGTGATTCACCCGACAAATATAGCTCCACGAGACCCACGTGCTCAATCCAAGAGGCGACTTCCCAGATCAGGACCTCGGGACATCGCTTGGGACATCGCACGACCTCCGACCCGGTCGAGAAAAATCAGGCCCCGAAGAACCGTCGATGTTCACCGAAGAGTCGCCCGACCCGGCTCCAGGCTTCCATGAGCCAGGCTTCTGAAAGGTGGGATCCGACCCCTGAAAACCACGCCAAATCATATGGGAAAAAGCTTGACAATTCCATCCACCTGGGCTCGAAACTGCCTTCGTTGCCTGAGGCCCAAAACCTTCCTTCTCATTCTCTGCAACCCCCGCAAAACAAGAACCTCGCCTCGTCAAGTCTCCGGGCCGGCGACACCCCAATGGCCCCTTCTTCGCCGCCCCACGCGCGCCGGCCACGGATAGATCGATGGTTGAGGGGCGCTCTGTCGAAGCTTCCGGAATTGATTCTCCACCTGCGGCGGGCGGAGAAGAGTGAGGATGTCAGGGGCATGGCAGGTCTGATCCTCTTCGGGTTCATATGTGGCATGAATGTGAACATGTCGTCTTTTTGTTGTTCCGTGTTTTCTTGAAACATGTTTTTTGGTGTCCTCCCGATGCCTTTTGAATACCTCTTGCATCCATTTGAAGTCCTTCTGATTCTATGTGACACAGATGTTGAACTCCATGCATTGCTTCCGATGCATTGCTTCTCTCTTTGTTCATTCACCGTTGGACTTCATGTTGAGTTCCGTTAAACACCGGGTGCGTGCTCGCGGGGACAGGACAGAGGGTGAACCGGGGGACGGCCAGAGACTGGGGCCATGGGTCTTTGGTCCGAACTGAACGGTTTGGGAACATAGAAACAAACAACCTGGAGCTTCAAAGGGGTGTCCTGTCTGGAGATCCCGGATGGTAGTGTAGGGGCTTCCAGCCAGGTGACCCCTTTGAAGGTGCTAGATGTGAAACAATCTCCCAAAGGAATGGCCGGGAAGGCTGTTGGAAAGGCCTAGAATCAGAATCTTTCAATTGAACGCAAGTTCACATGGAATCACAAGAATTGAGCTGGCGTTAAAGAGAAAAAACAATTGGGGCGAAGGAGGAGGCATTCCAAGTTGTTCATGTCAACACTTCGAACAATAGCACACCCCCGCCTTATCAGGCTACACATTCCCGCCTTCATGGAGATTTCGGGAAGTCCAGGATGGTGCTACCTTCTAAACAACGTCCAACGAATTCAACAAGCACGGCCTCTTCCCTCCGCGCGTCGTTGATCCGAGGCGCCTCGACAGGGTCTGGAAAATCCGAGATCTCCAGAGCTTTTTCATGGGATGACTCACTGACTGGAATGGTTGGTGACTTACCAGGGTCATACAAGTTGAGGTTGTAAATATCTTATTAGATGTAAGACATTCCATACAGTGTTGGAATTCTTGCTGGATTCCAACTTGTTCCAGTGGATGTTGGAACCAGAAGCGCTGGCTGGCCTTGGTTGGCACTGGCCGGCCTTGATAAGTGGTGACCTACAAAGAAGTTGTATCTGGATCCAATGGGAGTGGTTTTCTAGGATGTGTTGGGGTAGCCTGGGTGCTTAGCTGCTCTTGGTGGACAATCCTTTTCTGTATCCAAGACTCCCACTCCAGGTGACTAGTGTCACTAGTGTCACTATGTAGCGTTTCACTATTTCAACCCATTTCACCAATTTGAATCAATTTGACCTCATATGTCTTTGATGGTCTTTGTCTGTATTCCGGTATCTGGTATACCAGCACCGACACCCAAAAGTACATAATGTAAACACTGGATTAACATACCACCTCCTATGTAATCTGGTCCGCCTCAGGTTGATTCATCCGGTTACATGATTCTCCCATTTGGACCGACTTCTGGATGGCTCCGACTCTTCGGAGCCCTTGGGCTTGGAACGCCAGCCTCGGGGACGGAGCTCTTGACCAGTGGCCGTCCAGTGAGCTGGTCCACGGTCACTGCCTCGGGGACGGAGGAGCTGAACTGAAGTGACATAGCTGGGGTTGGTAATTGAATCCCTAGGGCTCCAAGCGAGGTACGACTGGAGCCCTAGGGAATAGGAAAATCAACCGCGCCAAACTAATGGGCGGTGGCCGACTTCAGGAACTCACCAAGCAGGTCTAGTATACATGTCTCTACTTAAAGAGTTGAATAGGAACCCGCCCCCCAATGTGCCAATGGGTTGTGAATTTTCCGAAGCTTCGAGGTCTAGACCAAATGGTCTTCCTATTCCAATACACACACACACATGCTCCCACCCATGTGAATGCTGACAATCCATCGACCAAATGGTTATCAAAGCGGGTCTGCTATGCCGCTGCTTTAGAAATTGTTGAGATTCTAGTGGGACACACCCAAAGGTTTCCGAAACGCTTCGATCGACACGCTGCAGGATTCATGTTACAAGCTGCAGGTCCTCTGTGTCAAGTTGAGCGACTCACCGGGAAGGATTCGACGGATCCACCTTTTGTGTTAAAAGATGCCTACTGGTCCGGTTCGTTGTATGTCAGCATACAAAATGTCATAAAAAGCATTAAAAAAAAGAAACAGCAGCTCCAGGATGTTCCAAGGTTTGTCAGCTCCATTGAACGAGCAAGACTGGGCTACCGCGGCATTGCTTGGCAAAGCTCCTCCAGATTTTGCACGCCGCAGTGGAATGAACCGCGAAGCAAGGGTGGCATGTCTGGGGGCGTCGCACTCATAGATCTTCCGTGACTTGTGGAGACGTCTGGAGCAATCTATGAGCCAAAGTGTGTTTCATCCCGGCCAAACAAATTTATTACCACTTAGTTTCTTGGTCATGCAGTCACGTCGCCCATCCCGGGCTATCAACTCTACATCCCAAACACTTTTGACTTGACACCCTCAGAGTTTGACTTCAACGTAATGAATGTGCATAAAAATAGGGAGGCTCCCCCAAAGACCCTCTGGAAGAAGGAAACATAGACCAGTCTAATTACAGTCTACCCATTAGTTGGAGATCTCCCCAGTAAAATACGAAGCCATATTTAGGTTCGCAACCTGGAAGTTTACAACCACCTCTGAAAATTGGAGGCTACCACCTTTCGTCCATCCCCCTCTTTGAACACTCCTTGGCTTCCACCACTCATACCCCTTTTGTCCCTACGTTCTGCGTTCTACACCAAGAAAACCCAGTCCTGAAGCGGAAGCCATCGTGCAAGGCTCCAAGCCGGTGCTTTCTGCAATCAATCTGTGGTGTCTTTTGATGTTTCAACTATATAGCCGCTCATTTGACCTGGCTGGTAACAACCGCGGATTTCTTTTACAACAACTAGTCTGAAGATGGGCGACGAGCAGCTTCAGCCCAGCTAAAAACAAGCGGAGGCGGTTGGAGTTGGTGAGAAAGTTAGGAGGTGAACCATATCTTATATTGCTTGTCCATCCTTTGTAATGGTGAACACACCGTACTTGACTGACATATTCGGAGAAAGGTGTGGGTGTTGAAACAACTTGATGATATGAGTCGACTGTTGTTTCGTGTACTACGAGGAGCAGGACGTGTGCCTTAAAACAGAGCCATTGTTCCGGCTCGGACGTCCGCGTCATAACAAGGATGCTGGTCATAAGTGGCATTGAAACACTCGGCAAAAAACGATCCTTGTGCTGTAGATGGTCTGGTCATATGTGCGTAGTGTTCTTCCCAAGCATGTATCATATTTAAAAGGTATTGGTGGATCATGCCATGTAACGTCCCCAACAAAAACGCCTTTGTGATCGCAGAACAGCTGTCGAAGTTGGTGGAATCTGTGCTGCAGTTCGAGAAGGACTCGGCTGCGAATCGAGAGTTGGTGGCTGCAAAGAGGCTGGAGCCATCTGACAAAACAAATGGGGGGATGCATCTAGAAGATCCATGAAGATCCAATGTTCCTAGAAGTGTTCAGGCATGCTCTAGCATCGTGAATCCACGCTAATAGAAGCAACCTCCACCTCCATGCTGCACTTCGGATGGTTTTCAGGGTGACTTGTCAATTCGAGGGGGATGAAATTGACAAGCACTTATCCATCTTCTTCTCTGCTTAGTTGGTCTGTCTTGATCTACTTGATCGCCCGGCTTGCGAACTCGTCCCATGTTATCAGGGACAAATCATCCCTGATCACGGCATGATGCAAAACCAGCACTCATGTGGTATACCCCAAAAACAGGATTCAAAGGAGAAATTACCCAAACAAACAAACAAACCCAAAACAAACAAAATCAAATTGCAATCTTGCATCTCGCCATCTGTGCCATCCGTGCCTGTGTGCTGCCGCTCGCAACAGCAGGGAGAAAAAGCACCACAAAGCCCCCGCCATTGCTTTCGATCTACAAGGCTCAAGCAGAAGCACCACTGATCAGCTCATCACAGATCGTGAGCGGTTGGTCTCACTGGACCATTTCGGCTGCTGGTCTGACTGGTGACGATGAGGGGCAGTGGCAGTTTGCACTGATGACTTGGAGGGACGAGACGCACATTTCAGCACAAGAATATGACAGAATTGGGCGGGTCTGACTTGGTGTCCAAGACACTGTAGATGCCGATAGATGCAGTGCATGTGTCTGGTTAAATGGTAAATGCAGCTCTCAAAATGTTTGCCCACGATCAGTTTGACCGGTGAATCCAAAGCATCACCTGTTTTTGTGCGCGTTTTTGTTTTTCGGGTTCTGACATCTTGTCGCCTGCCATTCAGATCGATCGTCTTTTGTGCCAGTTCAGTTCGAGAGTGATCACGCTAGGCGGATGTCTTAGACATCACTGAGAGCCACATCGCCACACACACACACATCTCACATAGCTGTGTTCATGGGGCAAACATATCTTCAACACGACCCGAACACCTATCCAAATGCCAACAGCCAACAGTGACCTTCATTCTCTCCTTGAAATAGACCTTCGAATGCACAGCCACAGGGCATGAAATGGCATGAACAGTTAGGATGACGTGGTACTTTTAGGGCGATTTATATACAATATTTTGAAGCAAAGATAAGCAAAGGAATGGCTCACCGGCGATCCTTGTCTGTCCGCAGGCTCGCGACATCGCGCAACTCTCCATCCACTGGTTCCACTCGCAAATCACTGGGACTGAACCAAGCAGAATGCGAGTCGGTGCTTTCAAAGGAATTTAAACGTTTTGGGGGGAAGTACCAGGACCTTCGACCTCTTTGGAGTGTCTAAGTGACCTCTTCAGGGACCAAGTGACCTCATGGTTGTGGTAAACAATTATGGTTATACTATAATCCTACCCACCCTTCACATGCAAACCGTACCTAATTACCTATGTCAACCGTGCTAGTTGAACATTCAAACGCGCCCACCCTGCAAGCCATGCATCAAAAATACACTTCTGCTCACTTATTTTTCCGACGCATCGACGATCCTCGTCAATTCTCAGCCATGATCGATGGTGATGCTGGTGTGTTCCGGAGGTCCAGATCACCATATTAATTCACTAAGCAACCGATCTGACCAATGGATATGTTAAGAAATTGTGCGGCCACCACTGTTGCAGTCTGTTGAGCTACAACAGCTGAGGCATGTTCGTGAAATCATGTTTTGGCCAAAAAAATGATTCCATGATATTCCATGGCATCGCTCCAAACTGGATGATCGTCCAAACCATTGATATCACTCATGAGGCCTCTTTGTTCAACAAAAAAAATGAAAAAATGGATATCCAGAGGGGAACACAGAAATTGAAACACTGATATACATGGAAGGTCCCTGGGCCGAAGATGGGACGATGGCTCCGCTGTTGTGGAGCCGTCTTCCCGTCCCATCTGGCCGGATCGGTCGGCGGAAACGAGCTTCGGCTCTCAGCACCGAGCCACCGAGGACGCGGCCTCAAGGTAGGAGCTGGCGCAGTGGTGCGATCGGATGTCCACGGCTTAGATGTACCTATTGGGTTTGTCCAATTACCTGTAACAGTCAGTAAACAATGGTCATGATTTTTGAACAAGGCCTTTACTAACCATCATCATCCACTGTTACAGGTACTAGGGTAGACCGACCCAATGTGGACCTTCCTGTCGGGGGGGTTCAGTAGTGGGCTGGGTCTTCCAGCCAGGTGACCCCGACAGGAAGGAGAGGACCCACGGTTGAGGATGGCAAATGGCTTCAGGATGACCTCAATTTTGCTCTTGCTGACATGGAACATGTGCGCCTATGATTTGTGGGGCGACAGCTGCATGGAGTCAATATCCAAACCATTCGTCTGCATTGCCAATGGCCGCTGGCCAAGTCTAAGGAACATGTCATTGCATTGAGTCTGAGGAGGGTTTTGGAACCGTCAATTCCATCGAAACACTGTGCCCAAAGATGGTTTCAAAGGAAGTGACATTGATGTTCTATCAATTTGTTCCACCGGTGTAAACCGGAGTGACCCGGTAAACCGGTGTAAACCGTGTAAATCGGTAAACCCGTGTCGTCAAATAATTCCCAGACGCGCGTGATGTCACAATGAAAGTGTGTGAAAGACCAAAACTTCGGTTGACCTGAGGGTCGGAGCCCCGCTGTCACGGCCGGCGAGTCATGTCGACCAACTGATCATGGCGAGCAGTCTGTTCTTCCACCAATCAATGAGCAACCGTGTGCAAAAAACAACACGCAGCCATGCAGCTGTCCGAATTCTCAGACCAGCTGACACAGTGGGACACACAGTTCAACAGAGTCGAGAAAGTACCTGAGAAACTGGGACCAACACGAAGCGTGAACGTGGTGGCAGTCTGCGGGGGCTTCGTAGTCGACCCTTAAGCGTTAAAAAAAACATTTAGAGGGTGTAGTGGTACAGTCGTGTCTCGCCCAAGGGTCATGTTGAACTTATGTGTTTTGAATTGATTGAAAAATTGATGGAATGCCTTCCCCACACCCATCCCCAGCTATGCCTTCTTCAGGCACCCGCCAGCGAGGGGGACAGCTACCCACCTGTCACGATGGATGAAACATGTCAGTTCATCCAGGCGCAAGAGCCTATAGCCACTCCTATAGTCTACAGGGATGTGGGAATGATGAGAAAAAACTCTTGACTCTGGAATGTGCACATTGGATGGTTCCTCAAGAACCTATAGCCTACTGCAGGGAATGTGCACATCTGTTTCTCAAAGAGGACATTGGAATCGCTTCACCTGGGGCAATCTTCCAAAAATCGCTTCACGGAACGCATGTTGCTGGAGCGGCTCACCACCAACGCAAGGCTTTTTTGATGCCCCTGACTGGTCCGCGAAGCCCGTGCCTTCTGACTTGACTTTCTTCAGGCAAACTAAGGGTATATATGTGACCTGTCAGGTGTTGGTTTTGACGGCCCTCTGACCAAAGGCTCGCTGTCTCCCAACCAAAGTGGTGTCTAGATCCGAGGACATCTGAGGACAAGCAAGCGATGTCATCGCCGGCCTCGCCTCTAGGGGGAGGGGTCTTTCTCGACTTTTCACATGGGCATGTATTCCCTAGGGATCCAAGTACATCCAAGTACCTTCTCAGGTTCGGTAATTGGACCCTCCACACCTACATAACAGTGTCGCCAATCACCGTACCTGAGAAGGTGTTTGGATCCGGGATTGAAACAGTTTTCGATGTCCGAGATGCCCCACAAACCTTTAAAGACCAACAGGCCAATCAACCAGGCCAATAGGCTAAAACCTGGGCCAGATTGCTGGGTCCTCACATCGGGTCCACATCTTTTGGACTCACCACACGTGCCAAAACTCACTCCTGCCCGTGCCGCCCCATCACTCCCGCCTTGGCCCCCCACCGGATACGTACCTTTTTCCCACACTCCGGGCATGTCGGACCTCCCAAATCCCTTTCTCACCTCTGTGAGAACCGAAAAGTCCCGGCTTTTCAGGCCCGAAGACTGCCTGTGTCACCCGAAGCTCCACGCGACAACGAAGAGTGTGGTCGAAACGATGCCACCAGCTGGGCTGATCTAGTTGGTTGTTGTTTGATGTGTTGCTTGATGTTACTTGGGTGGCGTCTCAGTTTCTGGCTGATTTGTCCCTTAGGTGGCTTGGTAGGCTTTGAACTCTTTGAATGCATGACATTGACCCAACAATCGGTTGGATGTTGCACTAGTTCTGAAAAATGGCATGGTTTGAGAAACGGATTTACCCGGGGATTCACCCACTTCGACTGGATTCACCCACTTTGGATCAAAACTTGTTAGCCAAACACACAACAAACAGAGCTGAAATGGTCTCAGTTCGACCTCTTCAACCTCCTTGCGATTCGAGTTAATTGGACGGGACGATTAGCAGGGAAGAGGTAGGAGCAGGGAAGAGGTAGGAATTCTACATGTTTTTGATCAACATCATTTTGCATAACAGTCTGTATATGTCAGTATGTAAAA